GAACGGCACGCTCCCGTCGTGGGTTTCGCAAAACCCAGAGACTCCAATATCCCTTAATGAAGGAATATACCTTAAATCATGTTAGGGATCCTACTATAATTTCAGGTATATTCCTTAAGTAAGGGGTATTGGAGTCTTTGGGAACACCGGTATCCCGTGCAGGGGGCACCTGCACCAGCTTACATGTGTTGACCTGCCAGGCGCACATGCCGCAGATATTGGGGGTTTCCGGAAACTAGGGGTACCTTATTTTGGGGTCCTTCTAATAAGGATCCTATTATTTAGGGTGCTATATTAGGGTCCCCTATTTTCGGAAACTCCCATATGCCGCAGAAGTTATAATCAGGGAGATGCACTCGTTGCCATCTGGTGTTTTGGCTGGAGGCAACTTTTCATATTGTCTTCGCTGCGGTCGCAACGACAGGTTCACTGGGCGACGACGGGCACCTCCAGGACTGGCTGGCCAAGCAGGTTCACGGCTTTCGTGTCTTTAGAGATGCGAGATGCGATAACACTTTTCGGATGCAGGGTTTACCGGGCCTAGAAGGATTTAATGTAGGTTCGAACAGGGTTTGGGGGGTCCCTTATTATCACTACAGTATTATATACCCCCATACCCTATTCTGATTATCGAGACCCGTATATTATTAGAGTTGGGTGGCGTTTATGGAATCGGGGTTTAGCCGTTCAGGGTGTTGGGCTGAAGGCCTGAACCAGCAAGTCTGAACACATGCAGCTAGAGAGTATTGATGATATGAACCCTGCATCACCTGAAGGACCCTAAACATAAGGGAATTATGGTAGATTCCGTACTATGGGTAATGCAGTATTTATACCATCAACCGTAGCATATGCTCTGGTCGTAAAGCAGGTCCTTCCAGGTACCTTCAGGCCGAAGTATGGTCACGAGAATCATGGTCACTTAATTTAAGAGACGGACCTTTGAGAACACACTTCCTTCCAAAGAGGCCTCCCAACCAAGAAAGGAGCCACTTTATGTTCTGCCTAATGTAGGGCCTTAATAATTGGAATAGGGTTTTGGGGCCTCTTCATAATACACTAAAAAGAAGGAACCCTAAGATAAAATAGTGACAACTACTTAGGCTTCTATAGTATTTTAAGGACAGCTGGCTTGGGATGAGGGGATTTGGGGTGCGGCTTTGGGCTTCGGGCCCATGATGCGGGACAGGCGCAGAGTGGGTTTGGAGTGTCTAGGGTCTAGGGTTTTAGGGTTTAGGGTTTAGGGTTGGGGTTGGGTTGGGCTTAGGGTTCAGGGTTTAGGGTTCAGGACCTAGGGCTTACCCTCAGAGATACGTTCGGCCGCTCACTGGGTCGACATTGAGACAGCAATCTCCCTCAGCCGATCAAGGGTAGCCAGTCCTATGTGTGTGGCACTTGTCTACTACAGGCTACGCTAATCTAAGTATTCAGGTCTTAAAGCCTTAGAACCCTTATAGAACACCTCCTAGAGTCTTGGATAGAACCTTAAACCCTCAACCCTACACATATAATACTTCCGCAAGGTATCCTGAAACCTCCCCAGGCGCAGTCAGACTTCAGCTCGACCCGGCAAGCCCCTTTGGGATGGACTTTCGCTCTTACCAGAGACGAAACACCTAATCCTTTTAGGGTTCAGGACTTGGAGTTTCGGGCTTTAGGGTTTAGAGTTTAGGGTTTAGGGGTTTAGGGTTCAGGGTTCAGGGTTTAGACTGTAGGGCTGCTGCTCGAAACCCGAAAAGCATCAAGCCCTAAAGCCCATAACCCTATCTACAAGGCCTAAAGCTCGCTCGAAGCAGAAACGGTCGAAAACGGTCTCGGGGACAGAGGTGTGTTGCTTTTCGGGCCGAGCCTTTGGCAACAAATGGAACTGCAAAGCCCAACAAAAACCCGAACACTCACGCTAAATCCAAACCCCTAAGTCCTAAACCCAAGTCCTAAACCCTAAACCCTGAAGCCTAAACCAAAAAACCTAAACCCGAAGTCCTAAACCGCAAACCAGAAAAGCACCGACAAAACCCGAAGCACTCAGACCGCCGGGCCCTGAAGCCCTGAAGCCAAAAGACACCAGCCCTGAACTCTAAACCGACATCCAGCCCCAACAGCTCTTGAGCAAACCCCGAACTCTGATAATATAGGGGCCTAAATAATTACCAATACTATTGTTTTAGGGGTGGGGGTCCTTATTATAGTACAATATAATGTACCCTAAAGCCCAATTCTAATTATTACGGCCCATACGGCAAACAGGAACGAGTCCAAAACAAACACGCACACACACACACACACACACCCCGGGTTAAGGGGTTGAGGGTTTAAACTTAGGCACACGCTAGTGCTCCAAACAGCCCGAAGACTGCATACAAAAGAAACTGAACCACCTAGATATAGGTCTTTATCTAGGGTGTCAGGATTTTTGGCTTTTATTACTAAGTTTGACTCGTTTCACATGTTCTTTTGCTAGTGTGAAACAACATGCTCAAAACCCTCAGAAATCCTTAGTAAAGCCCTCAGGGACTCGCTGAAACCCGCGAGACTCCAATATCCCGTAATTAAGGAATATACTTTAAATCACATTAGGGAGCCTACTATAATTTCAGGCATATCCAATTAAGAGATATTGGAGTCTCTGGGAGCCTACATAGACAAAAACGACCTCGGCACAGGAAGCGTCAGTCAACCCCAAACCCTAAACCGTAAACCCCTAAACCCTAAACTCTAAACCCTAAACCCTAAACCCTCAACCCTAAACCCTCAACCCTAAACCCCAAACCCTAACCCTCAACCCTCGGAGCCTCTTTGCTTCCTCTTCCGCTTCCTGGCGAGCTCGGGCCTCCGTCTCCTCCAGGAATGCGTTCAGGGTTTTTGGGGTTGAACCCTAGACCCTAAACCCCTAAAGCCTAAGCCCTAAACCCCTAAACCCCTAAACCCCTAAACCCTTAAACCCTAAAGCCCTAAACCGTAAACCCTGAACCCCTAAACCCTAAGCCCTAAGCCCTATGGTCCCTCAGCCATAATCATCAGGATTTGGGTGCAGGGTTTGGGGTTTCGGGCTTCTTGTCCCTAAACCATACTCCCAAACCTTACAACCCTATGTGATCCGTGAACACTAAAACCTGATGTCTGGAAGCCAAGGTACCTGTGGGGATTTGCAGGATTTTGTGTGAAGGGGTGGTGACAAAATTTAATGCAGGGCTCATACTTCTGTGGGCCTTTGAAAGCGGCTTCTACGGAATATAATGCTGAGGCAAGAACGAGGAGTGTCTTTTTCCATCGCCAAGGGTCCATGTACCCTTTTATTTAGACCCTTAAACTACATGTAAGGGCCTAGGCAGAGTATGCTGTGGCCTTGAAGGGGCTCCTGGTAAATAGGAGCTATATAAGCACTTCAGGGTCCAAGTTTATGCTGCATGGGCACATGCACCCCTAGGGTGTTCTGGGTAGTATAGGGATGGTACCGGCTCTACTTAACAGTCATGTGTGTGCAACTTTTTTTTGACGGCTGAAGGAACAGAAACCAGTACAGATCTAAAAAATCGGGTTCAGAACTTCTATACGTCTATATGGTTTTGTCTGAGCTTCCGGGGGTGAGATACAAGAGAAACATTTCAAGGGGGGCAGCGGTGCGTAAGGGTTTAGGGTTCAGAACATACTCCTTGACACAGAAATCCTGTCACTGAACCACACTCCTGAGTCTCGACATCCCATCCCCCCAGGCTTGCTACACTTGCGGAAGAGCGAGAAGACATCATGTGCCCCTGTAAGGTCTGCTTCATTGAACTGTCTAAACCGTGCTTCAGGGTTCAGGGCCTAAAAGGGGACCCTCACGCTTTTTGCATAAGCCCTCGATGTTCCACCCTGGACCGTAAATTTCTCTATAACGTTGGACATGTATCTTCTGTACTAAACTAAACCCTAAACCCCTAAACCCCTAAACCCTAAACCCTAAACCCTAAACCCTAAACCCTAAACCCCTAAACCCTAAACCCTGAAAGCCTTTCTCCAGATGGCCTCCATGCCTTGCCCGAGGGGCGTGGCTG